GACATAAAAAAATCAGAAAGATAAAATAAAAATATCCTTAAACCTAGTCAGTAGAGAGAAAAATAACAAAAATAAAATTGGCATTAATTAAAATATATATTTTTAATTAATTAATTACTCCAGAGATTATTTGAATTATTCAAAATTATATATAAACCCAAGATATATAAAAATTTTAGAGATTATTCCCTCCACTCTTGGAAACATTCCTTTATTTTTCTAAGATCACGAGCCTTCCCTAAAATCAAAATGACCAAATTTCTACCAAATTTATAATTATTTTGAGAAATAATTATAAAAATCAGAAAATTGATATTTAAAAATAGAAATTAACATGAAAATATAAGGTAGTGGAATTAAGTCCTAAAATGATAATTTCCACATTTTGAAAAGCTTGAAATGAAAATTTAGAAAAATAGGGGTAAAATTATTAATTTAAAATTTTACACTTTAGCCCAAAATTGTTTTTATGTTAAGTTTAAACACATTAAACCAAGCTTAAAGCTTTATTCCCAAGAAGTGAGCACTATGGTTACCCTTAGTAGCCCTAGGCTAACCCAAGTCAAGCCTAAACTTGGTTTAGGTGTAATTTGGCTTAAGTCTAATCCAGATGAGCTTAGAATTGAACTTAATCCAATAAGGGTCAATCCTTGGTCATAATCAGGTTTGATGTGGCTCAAATAAACCATTGGGTCTGACCTACAATAAACCCAAGTTAACCCTAAATTTAGGTTCAACCCAAATTGAACCTGACCTTAAACCTTATGTTCAACCCAAATTGAACCTAATCCTAAAACTTTAGGTTCAACCCAAATTGAGCATAACCCTAAAATCTTAGGTTCAACCTAATATGAACCTAACCCTAAAGCTTAGGTTCAACCCAAATTGAACATAATCTTAAACCTTAGGTTCGACCCAAATCGAACCTAACCCTAAACCTTAGGTTTGGTTCAAATCGAACATAACCTTAAATCATACGTTCAACCTAAATCTAACCTAAACTTAACACTAGGTTCAACCCAAATTGAGCTTAACCCTAAACTTTGGGTCTAACTCACATTAGACCTAACCCAAACCCTAGTTCTAACCCAAAGTTGACCCAACGAACCATTTAGGTCTAACCAACATTAGAACTAAGCTATAAATCTTAAGTCCAACCTAAATTGGACCTAATCAATCTATTAGGTCCAACTTACCATAGACTTAACCCAAACCTTGGGTACATCTCAAATTGGACCCAACCAACCTTTTAGGTCTAACCAACATTAGACCTAAACCTTAAACCTTAGGTTTAACCCAAATTGGACCTAACATGAACCTTTGGTCTAAGTCATCTTAGACCTAATCTTAAACTCTAGGTCCAACCCAAATTGGACCTAGCCACTTTTTAGGTTAAACTTACATTGAACACAACCCTAAAATCTAATTCTAACTTAATTTAGACTTAGTCAACCTGTTGGGTTCAGCCTACATTGAACCTAACCCTAACCATAGGTCCAACCAAAATTGGAGCTGGCCACTTTTTAGGTTTAACCTACAATGAACCTAAAACCGTTGGTCTAATTTAACTTATACTTGACCAACCCTTTTAGGTTCAACCGATATTGAACCTAACCTTAAACCATAAGTCCAACCCAAATTGGATCTAGCCATCTTTTAGGATCAACTTACAATGAACTTAAACCCTTATTCTAACTTTTATTAGACTTAGTCAACCTTTTAAGGTTTAAACTACATTGAATCTAAATCCTAAGTCAGACTTACATTAGACTTAGGCATCTTTTAGGTTCAACCTACATTGAACCTAAATCCTAAATTTAACCTACATTAGACTTAGTCATCTTTTTAGGTTCAATTTACATTGAACCTAAAACTTAAGTCTAATCTAACATAAACTTTGTTCAAGCTGAATCCTTTTAGGTCTAACTTAAACCTAACTCAGGTCTCACATAGACCTTACTTAACTGAAACTCTACTAGGTCTAGTCTAATCTAGACTAAGTGAATTCAACTGAATGACCAGGTTAACCCGAACTAACTCGGGTTAACACAATTTAACTGAATCAACGAGTCAACTCAACCTAACTCAAGTTAACCCAATTATTGGACCACTAGATAAACCTGACTTTACTTGGGTTAACTCAATTCAATTGAATCACCAGGTCAACCCAACCTAACTCAGGTTAACTGAATTCAATTGGACCACTGGGTCAACCCAACCTAGCTCAGGTTAACCCAATTCAATTAAATCACCAGGTCAACCCGACCTAACTCGGCTTAACTCAATTCGATTGAATCACCAGGTTAACCCAGTCTAACCCGGGATAACCCAATTTAATTGGATCACCAGATCAACCCGAGCTAACTCGGGTTCACCTAATTCAATTATTAACTCGGGTTAACCCCATTCAACTGAATCACCTGGTCAACCCAACCTAACTCGAGTTAACCTGATGTAATTGAACCACTAGGTCAACTTGACCTAACTCAGGTAAATCTAATTTGATTGATCATTGGGTCAACCCGACTTAACTCAAGTTAACCCAATTCAACTACACCACCGGGTCAATCCGACGTTACTCGGGTTTCCCCATTCAACTGAATCATCAGGTCAACTCGACCTAACTCTGTTTAACCCAATCCAACTAAACCAATGGGTCAACCCGACCTAACTCGGGTTAACTCAATTCAATCATTGAACCAACTCGACTTAACTTGACTCAAACGGTCAACCCGACCAAACTCGGGCTAACCCAAAATCAACTCTACCCGGACAACTTTTCTTTGAGATAATCAGAATAACTTCTGATCAACCCAAATTGAGACTCAACTTCAAACTTAACCTAAGTCTTAACCAAATTTGAATCAAGGATTGATTTAAGTCTAAACATACATAGACTTAAAGAGAAAATTCAAGTCTAAGATAACTTGGACTTCACCAAAATCTAATTTAACTTAAACTTGATTTACCCTAGGGAGTTCAACTTGGATTAATCAAGTTCAACGTATTTTGCTCCCATGTTAACCCGACTTTGTTTAACTTAGCTTACCTCAAGTCAATTTAAACCAAGTAAGACTAGCCTGACCCCATTCAAACTAAGTCAAATTGGGTCAATCCTATTAAGCTTTGGTCGATTTAAGCAAGTTCGAAAATAATTTGAGGGACAATCGGCCTAACAAACAAAAACACAATTAATTGTTTACTTTATTTTGCAGGGCTACTAAAGAAGAAAGGCAGATGTCACCCTTGATTTACTTTGCACACTATTAGGTTGTGCTAACTTTATTGTACAGAGAAGGACATTCAAAACCTGGAGCAAAAGGATGAACCTCAACTAAACCATCAATGATAAAACAAAACTCTAAGAAAGTTCAAAATCTATTGCAATCTGCTCCCTGTAGGATAGGACTTTGACATTCCTTTTCTTGACAAGGACAGTTGAATTTTGTGAGAACAAATTATAATCTCAATCGGGAGTTTTCTTGAGTAGTCTTGACTACTTAAGATGTAATTAACTATAAAGGTTTGTCTCTATAAGAGGATGTGGACCTTAAAACATATGCATTAACCAGAATTCGCTTGTAATTAGCTTTCATAAGGTTTCTTCCATAGTTGTGTCTTCCAAGCATACCGAAGTGATCTCACATTTGGTTTATTTTTTGAAGCAATCAATGTAAAAATTTACCTTATGAAGGCTTCTCGTACATTTCTTTTATTTGTTCCTGTTATTGCATACCCTAGTCCTCCGATTTCTCATCACTTAGTTCATCTACATGATTTGAGATGAAGAACTATTTGGAAAAGAGAGCAACATAACAGACAACAAACTGGCGACTCGTCAACGACAATGACAACATCAAGCAGACGATGAAATGAAGACCGATGGTACGCGACCAGCGACACCAATACTTAGAGTAAGAAGTTGACACTACTTAGTCAACCATATTTAAGACACTTTTTTGAATTTGTTTATTCTTCAAACAATAGACTCGATGCTTTCCTCCACTTCAATCAACCACCTAGAATTCTCTAATAACATCACCATCTTCAAGTTTAACTGGGTTTAGTTGTGTACATATGGTTGTCTTGAACCCTTGATATTGACGTGGTAGGCCACTCAATATGCAGAGAATGATGTCTTCAGTGTCAATTGTGGAACCTTCGGTAGCAATGTTATTGACCAATGTTTTAATAGTAGCTAAATATTGTGGCATCGTGTTACTCGACATGGTGTTTTGTAGCTTGTTGTTTAGTTCAATTACTCTGGATCAATTCACTGATTTAAATCTCCTTTCCAATATTAACAATGTTTGAGCTACGCTTTGGAGATTTAAAACATATGGTAGAACTACAATGAAGATTGTCGACAATATATTATTATTATGAGTTTCTGATCAATCAGTTGTCATAGTTTGAAATCTTAATTTTCCTCAAGACTACCTGATTCATTTTGAATGAATCGAGAAGAGACCGTGGTTGTTTCCGAGAGAAAATCTTCATATCCATTGGCTAGAAATAGTTTGTGCATCTGTGTTTTCCAAACTTGGTAATTGTAGAGTTGTAGCGTGAGGTAGACATTTTCTTGATGTGTGACATCAAAAATTTGAAGGGAGCTAATATTCTTATCTCCTTCATCCTACTCAACAACATTATTGTAGGCTAACTTGATCCTACGGTGGTGGAGCTTGAATCTTTCATGGATCAGTTGTTGTGAAATTGTTGCTCTGATACCATGATAGAAAATTGCAAAAAGGAACCATATACATGAAAACACTATTAGAGACAAGTGCCCCGTTCCTTTTTACATCTCTCTATTTCTATGCATAACTCCTTTCCCTTTCTTTTTCCTTGCTGGGTGTCCCAAGATAGGGAGCGACCTTTTGTGGGGATCAGGTAAGCAACCTCCTTTTAATTAGTAACAAAAAATGCAAATACTGAGCAACACTAATCAAATACTGAACAAATGCAAAATAAAAAAAAATAAAAAAAGAAAAGAAAAGCTAAGGTCGAACATTTCACAATGTGCATCATCACACGTTTTAGAAGCTATTCCAAATCATATTTACAACATTTAGAATAGTTCCATAAAGATTACAATAGACGAATCCTGCCCAATGCAAGCAAGCCGGTGAAACTACAAGGCATCCAAATGGCCTTTGCATTAAATCTCAAAGACTAATCACATAATGGCACATTATCTCTGCAACAGAAGGGCAGTTCCGACCAAACTCATCCAAAACGCAAGCAGAGTCCAAAAAGCAGGATTTTTCTCTAATCCAACGGGCGGTCGCCACACCATGAAGTCACCGAAGAAGTCCCTCGATGATGGAAGTTGGTTGGTGGTGCTAACGAACTTTTTTCCCTGGCCCCTATCCTTGTACTTGTCACTCCATGTTCCGGCATATCTATAACAAAGCCATGCTAATAATAGTTCATAATCCATAACAAGCAAGATTGATATAAATCGAAAAAGCAGATGGTAGAATTAGAACTAGCATTCAGCATATTTTGAATGATGGTGCAATATTTTTATGCTTAATTTTACCAAATATCCAAATGCATGCATGATCAAAGAATGCCTTCACTAGGAGGTGAGGATCTTCTTATGGAAAGTAGCAAAAGTGAAAACTAAAAAAGATGAACATGATTTGAACATGGCCAACGCAGAGAAATTTTCAAATTCATGCTGTTTATTCAAGATTAATACTTTATGACTAAATCAACGAAGATAGTATCTGGGAAAATTATGCCACTTAGTTTTAGTTGATCGGAAAAAGAAATCATTATCCTGGATTTGGCTTCAGCTTAATTCTTATGACAGTTCCGGTTCAACCTAAAAACATTATGTTTTTACAACCAACTATTGCGACCCACAGGACTCTAGCCCAAACGATATAGAGGTTTCAAGCATCAATTCCAATGTAGATTCAACATTGTTAATTAGCCTTATGCCATCTTTATATCTCGATCTGGCTTTATGCACAACTTGTATATGTGCTGGCCTTGCGTCTGTCTTATAAAAATATGGGATATATTTCTACCAATTAAGAAAAATATTGGGACCCAATCAAAGCCTTCCTTCGATTTTCTTAGCCCAAAAAAGGTGGTCAGCATCTCATCTACAAGCAAGATAACTAATCCAAATCTGCCAAATGTATTTGCTCCTCATCATAATCCTTTGGGATATTTTTTATCCAAATTCATACAGTTGTGACTCTAATGATAGCATTCCTACTACAAAATATGTCCACATAAAGTTTCAAAACCTCTTTATCAAACAGGCAAAAATATATTGTCACTCCTCAAAGCTATGCTTTTAAATACAAGCTTCAAAGTGCGCTTCTTACATGATGAAGCGTGATGCGACGAGAAGTATCAATCAAACGCTTAGCGCAAGAAGCGTCCCCACACACATGGTGAGCCTCAAGCAGAGCAGGTTCAGCTTCAAGTCATGAAATGGCAGTGAGACTACGGATTCAGGTTTGGCTTTCACAAACAGAAGGCAGGGGTCATTTTTCACATCGTGAGCCTCAAGCAGAGCAGGTTCAGCTTCAAGTCATGAAATGGCAGTGAGACTACGGATTCAGGTTTGGCTTTCACAAACAGAATGCAGGGTTCATTTTTTGCATATCTAGCGAAGGAAATAAAGGATAGTTGGGCTACTATTTGACTTAAACAAGGGCTTCAGCTACGCGAAGAAGCAGACAGGTGACATATGGGGTGTTAAACTTTGAAGAAGAGACCAGGTAGAAGCAGGCGTCAACTCGGACTATGACTTCAGCACGTGAAGGGCTTCGACTAAGACAGACTTCCACACAAGGAGAGACAACACAGTAGCGAGAATTGGACTTCTAATTTGGCAGGTGAAAGAAAGAAAACTTAGCAGCCAGGCATTCAACTTCGACTTCGCCAGGTGAAGGAGCACAGGCTGCTAGTACATGATGCACCGCTAAGCCCACAAGTATTGCTGCCAAGCTATAGCCCATTGACACAGACTTCTCTCCATGTGACAACCGTGCTCAACCTCCTATCGTGAGTATGATTTTTCAAACTCATGAAAATTCAAGATAAATTATTCTTAGCTAGCTTTTAAATATTTTTTAATTTTTTTAAAATATTTTCTTAATAAAATAAGATCTATAAAAGATTTGTTTTGATGAAAATCTGATCAACATATTATTCATGTATAATTAAAAATTTGCTTACATAAGTAAAAAAAAAATAGATATAGTCAATTCAAATGCAAGGAGGGAAGATCCAACTTTAAATTGCACAAAGTTGAAATAAATTTTATATATATATATATATATATATATATATATCAGAAAAAAAAGATGAGTTGCTTGCTTATCAAGAAATTAAAACAAAGCTTATGTATGGAACATTATGAGACGGCAGTTAATATCTTAGAGAGTATTTGAACCAGTATCTAGATTGGAAAGCAATAAGGCAGCTTCAAAAAAATTCATTTGGATAATTTCATGTTTCAATAACATGAAAAAAAGACGGTAAAATAGAAGAACAAGAGCCAAATAAGGATTAAAGAAAATATAGATAAGGGAATTAGAAATAGAACTGTGCAACATATAGACAGATAATTCTATCAAGTGAAAATCTCTTCCAATGCGATGAAATTGGAAAATTTTGATCATATGATAGAGTAATGCACATTATAGACCAAGCCTATGGCCACCATCCTATAATGAATTGATAGTTTCTCTACTTGAAAAAGTACAGCATGCAGATATGAAGAATATGAGATCACAAAAAAAAAATAGTGAGAGAAGGAATGTAACTGATGGGTGGCTTGATCATAGAGAACAATCTTTAATTGATTTTTTTGTCAACTCACTATCTGGCACTCTGTTTTTCAAGTCAATACATGCATCCTGAATATTCAAAAACTGTGTTCAATCTTTTTAAACTCCTAGACGCATAAATTGAGAAGATTGAAGCAGAAAATGTGCTTCAAGCAATCACAAATAACCACTTAAGTTATGTTCTTGTGGGTTGGTAATTTATATATTTTTAATATATAAACATTACTTTTTTTTCCTAAAATTATATGATGATAACACATCTTTTATTCATGTAGGTCAAATGTTTATAGAGAAGAGAGCATACATGAACCGGACACCATGTCTAAACCATTCTATTGATGTAATGTAAAAGAGTATTGGGAAAATTTTTTATGTTAAAAACATCATCCAGAAAGCTTTAACAGTAACTGGCTATAAATGTAATCATGGACTAAATTTAAATATGATGAGAAAATATAATAGTGGTGTGAAATTGGTGAGATTGGGTTCATGTCGTACAACAATTTTTTCCTAATGCTTGTAAGTATACATAAGCAAAAAAATTTAAATACATGTGATAGGGTTGGTGTAGCTCTAGTGACAACAAAATTATAGAAAGTCGTCTTAGATGGTTTGGTCACATTAAACGTCGACCATCTAATGATCCGATTAGGAGAGCAGATGTTTTAGATTCGACGTATGTTAAGAAGGCAGACCTAGGAATGGCAGAGGCAGACCTAGGAATACTTGAGCTTATTGTATAAAAAATGATCTTAATTTAATAAACCTAAATGAAAATATGACACTAAATAGGACGCATTGGAGAAAATGTATTCATGTAGCCGGCACCACGTAGTGGGATTAAGGCTTTCTTTTTGTTGTTGTTGTTGTTTGTTTCTAAAAATTAGAACATGTCCAAATTTAATACTAATTATACAGAAAAGAATAGTAAGGGAATTATTTTGAAAACTAGATTTTGCAATGACGTGACTTACACTATCAAAATTATGCAGAATAGTGAAGATGTTAAGACTAATAGATGGTGATAAATAACCAGTAATGATTATAGTTATGATGCAATTGATAGAGTCAAAGATGCAATCAGTGATGCATTTGGAGAAGATGAAAAAAATGAGTATATTTTTCGTATTATTGATGATAGTGGAGGTGTCAACTCCAACCATTACTATCTTAATCTGAATTTTTTACAAAATTAAATCCATGATATAATTAAATAAATAGATAATTGAAGGCTTATATACAGATATTAGAAATTTTGTGGGAGACCCAAATAACATAATTGTCGTAGATCAAAAAGTTTATATTCATAATCATGTCGGTGGTTTATTCACAACTGAGTATGTCATCCACAAAAAAAAATGATAAAAAATTTCCAGATATGATTAATTGAAGCTTCTAACAAAAATTGAATCTTTAACTTATTAAATTTTTTGTTTTGACATGCCTTTATAATATAATGTAGCAAAGTGGCGGGAGATGTATGGTGCGCAAGCCCCATCTTCGTAAAAATTGGTTGTTAAATATTTAGGTTCAAATATTTTAAAAATTTTAAATATATTAAATAGTTCATATGTTTTATGCATTCATTATATTTTTATATAGATTCAAACCAAAAAAAAAAAAGAAATCAATAAGATTAAAAAAATTTAAACGATTAGTTTTCATTAATTACAATCACACTTTAAAAAAGATAGGGCTTTTACATACATAGCACTCAAAAGTTTCCTATTTACCCATCTCACATCTAAATTTCATAATTACAAATATCATATGAATAGTAACACTCATTATCAACTTTTAATAGTTAAATTCATCTTTTCATTCAAAGGTAAATGTGTGTAAAAATGAAAATTTTAATGTGAGATAGGTAAATCCATAAGAACCAACCAAAAAAGATTTAATTTGAGGGATTTTATTGATTCAAGCAATCTGAATTCCATTGATGAAAATTATGAGTTGTTGAAAATGATGATGAACAATAATTTGGCAATGAAGATTTTATGTGATGGTTAAAGAAAAGTTGATCGAAAATAACCAAGAAAATTTAGTAGGTTAGACTAAAGGGGATTCTTCAACATTGAGCGCTAGCTCTTCTCAGCCTACATCCGCTTAAATTATGCAAGCAAGATGATAAGTATGATTAAAATAGAGGAGGAAATGAAATTGAAGACAAAAAAAAATTACTTCAAAGAGAAATTGATTATGTGAATGAAAGAGAGGATGATGACAAATGAATTTTTTTAGTTTGTTTTATGAAACTTGAGATTTTATTAGTTTATTTATGGATCAAAAGTTGGGTTTTATTATTAATTATAAGAGCTTTTGACATATTATGCAATTTTCAGGTTTCAAATTATTACAAAAAATTATTAGAACTTAGAAATTGTTAGAAATTTAAATTTACATGTTCATCTTTGAAGTTTATCTTCAAATTAGATATATGCATCATATGTTTTTCTATTCTAAATTAAGTTTTTAAGTCATCTAATAGATATGTCATGTTTTATAATTGTTAATGAATGTACCATTATATATATAATTTAATATAAGCTATACTCGCTTTAATTAATAAAAGTATTGCTTCC